CAGCACGGACTCAACCACGGTCCATTAAAGGCAGCAAATACCCCACTGAACGCATGCGAGACGCGCCCCCCCCCCCCCGCTCCTCTCTGCATCCATTTCTAACCCGGGGCCTCTGAAGAGGAGCCCCGACATCTGTTGTCTGAAGGGTAACAAAGGAGTTGTGTTCTCATTGTCCGCGTGACCTTCCTAGCGGATGAGGAGGAGGAGAGGTGCGTGTTTTGTGTGCAGAAGATTGCCCGTGAAAGAGCACTTCACACTCATTTTGTCCCCGTGTGTTGACCCAGACTGCAAAACACAATTGGTCTCCTTAGCACACGAGCTCGGTACAATAGGGTCCTTTAGTATCATGTTCTGTTTCAATAACGTGATTTATTTCTGGGAAGCATTACAATTTTCCATGCACATGATTTTGAAAGGAGAAAAAAAAAGCCCCTCGTTAGTTTCAGCATGTCTTCCATTTGGAGTTGGTAAGGGGGACGTTTGGAGACAGCCATTGCCAGTGTGGATGGCATCGCGTTCTTAACGCTCTTCCCGGGACGTGGTGTCTCGGTTTTACTTCTGTATAACACACCTTCCTTGGTGTTTCCCTCCGACAACTGTTTCAGAAACATTTCCCAGAAGCTCGTCCCTTCTCATTTGTCCCCAGCCCCTCTCATTTGGTCTAGTTTCTTCTTAGAACAGCGTGATGATCTTTCAAGTGGCCATTTCTTGAAGAAAGGAAATCCAGTAGGGCCTTGCCTCTATGGGTTTTCTGGAAGGCACAAAATAATTTAATTCTCTCACTTGCATCTCCCTTAACCCGTTTTAGTTGTGGTTAAAAATATTTTATCATGTGGATTAACTGATATTTCTTAATCCCGTTTCCTAAATTATGATTTCAGACATTTCCCACGGAACCTAACCTATGACAAAAAACTGGATATTTTTTTTAAATGGGTGTTATATCTTTCAGGCCACTAGGGTACCACTTAGAGCCTGACGCTCTTGAAATATCTTTTTTTTTTTTTTTTCGAGACAGGGTTTCTCTGTGTAGCCCTGGCTGTCCTGGAACTCACTCTGTAGACCAGGGTAGCCTCGAACTCTCGAACTCAGAGATCCGCCTGCCTCTGCCTCCCAAGTGCTGGGATCAAAGGCGTGCGCCACCACCGCCCGTCTTGAAATATCTTTAAGGCCTGCCGGGAGAAGAATCCCTTGAGCACCATCAGCAGCAGGAAGCATAGTACACAATGGCCGTGTTATATCCTAGAGACTGAGTGCAATGGTAGGCAGCGAGCAAAATCCAGTTCTAGGGCTCACTGACACGCTCTCCTAGCTAGCGTTTACTCCAGTCTTACTCTGTGCTGGGCGCAGATGTTAAATAACCTGCCCGTTATTCACGAAGTACTCAGTGGCACCAGAAATTCTGCAGAGAAACAACGCATCGTGAATGTATGAGATGGCTGTCGGCCATCACTGTTTGAGCTTAGTTAAGCGCAGTGACCAGTCCGAGTGCGCCATTTTTTTCTAACGTACTTGCAGGGATAAGAATAGGCGCGTACGCCCTTCAAATATCGGAGGTCCCCGTGTCACCTTTCCATGAGCGTGACGAGATGCTTGAAATAAACACCTTAAAAAGAACAACAATCTCTCTGGGCTCACACTTCTATGGGCACTTGACTCTGTTCCTGTGAGTCTATGACAATATGGAGGCAAAAGCATTTGTGAGAGGAGGCCTGATCACCCCATGGGGGCCAAGAAACACACAGAAAGCAAAGCTGTGCTGGCCCAAAGGGCATGGCTCTCCTTCCATAGGCCCCGTGTTCTAAAGGTTCCACCACCAGTCAGTATTATCACAAGCTCGAGACCAAACCTTCAACACAAAGGCCTCTACCTGGGTTTTTTTTTTTTATTCCTGATGTTACTTAGTTACACCAGGAACTGAGTTATCTTAGGCTAACAGGATGGTAGGGTTGGGGGGGGGGGGTAGATGGATTTTGAGATATTATGGAACCATAAAACATGGGATCCCCTGGAACTGGAGTTTCAGATGGTTATAAGCAACCATGTGGGTCCTGAGAACCCACCTCCAGGTCCTCTGTAAGAACAGCAAGTGCCCTTCACCCACTGAGCCATCCCTCTAGCCCAGTGATGCCTAGTTTGGTCACCAAGAAGACTCTTCTAAATGTCTCAAAAGAATGTGTATGTAAGGCCACCCTGAGGCTCACCCCATTGACTATCCTTAATTGGTGACCAGTCTTCTCTCTGAAATTAAGTACCCATATGAGGTAACTAAGCCCAGACTCTTCCAGAGTTTAGTGAGGTGCTTGCCTATCTGAGCTCTGGTTAATCTTGAGCTCTGAGCCTCAGTTCTCCTCTCCTCAGCCTCCCTTATCTTCAGGGCTTTTGCTTTTGAGAAGCAAAGCTGCTCTGTCCCTTTAATTCCTCTTTCCTGCTGTTCTCTCACCCTGGGACCTGTTTCCTCAGCCTTAGGTCATGGCCCTGTGACTTCCTGTAGAAAGCTCTCCTCAACCTCCTGAGACACACTCGAGGTCCCCTGCAGTCCCCACCAGCACAGGCATCACTCCACAGTGTTAACTGTTGGTTTTCTTTGTTTCCCCACATGTCTGTGAAGGCGACACTGGGCTGCTGCTTAGCACACAGTTTAACTCCCCGGCTTAGTAGGTGCTCAGCAAAGCACTTGTCAAAACAACTGTGAACTGCTGAATGAAAGGATAAAGTTAAATTCAGCTTTTCCTTTCCAGTAAACTATGGATATGGGAATGCAGCCTTTGTTTTTTTAAAAGTCATGTTTGCTTAAAGATAATAACTAAGCTCTCTTCTTGACGTCAACAACTGCAGTTAAGCCTTAGGTCACTTAGTATAATAAGATAAACTCTAAAATCAGTCACTAATTTATCCCAGTGCAAGAAGCATCTTCATGGGAAGATTCTAATTCTGTAGCTTCTTTTTAAAATAAATTATCAACTGCTGTATTTATGTTGAAGTATTTATGGAGATCCAGTTATTTATTCTAGAAGCATTTAGCTTGTCTGCCCGTAGAGCACTGCAGTACCCTAAGGTAGAAATTAGGGAAGGAAGGCATACTGCAGCCCCTGCTGCCTGTGACCTTAGTTAAGTGAGAACAAAATCCTGTTAAAAAGCTAGTGAGCGCATGTGCAGAGCGCTGGAAGATACATGGCTTCTTGCCAATCTTGAGTCAGCCATGAGAAACGGGGCCAAATACAAAATCCCCATTTGAGACAAACTGCCTCAAAGATGAAAGGTGAAAGGCCCATGGTCCAAATACTGAAGTTTGTAAGACAGATAACCCACAGAAGGCACATGCCCACCATGGCCCTGAAGACACACCATCTTGTGGTATCTGTATGGGAGACACAGTAACGTCCCATTTCCTGACAGTTTTGCTGGGGGAAATCCCCTCCAGGAAAGGGAAGAGTCTCTTCCATCTGAAAGTTCACCACCCTCTTCAGAAAGCTGAGAAAACTCACAATGGCAACTTAGAATAGCATATGAGGGTTTTGTTTCCTTTTTTGCTTAACATTGAATCAAAGAAATCCGGGTCCACATTAAGAAGGGTAAATTGGCATCATAGGAACCATTAGTTTGTTTACCCAGCATAAAATTATGTCCTCTGTCAACGGGAATATCAAATAGCATAAAAAGCTGGGTGATTTACATTTTCTTTTTGATTAGAGGATTGCGTCCACTGTCCTCTACAAGGAAAAATCTCTCCCATTTAGCTTTTGAAGATCAAAGAGGCCATTAAATATGCCATATTACCAGCTTTTTCCCCCCCAGTTAAGACTATGGGATACTTTACGAATTGAGACTGTCATGGCAGAAGGGAGGACTTTATTTGTGGTCTAGTTTACTTCCTTAGACAGGACAACGTGCTTAACTGTAATTCAGGGAGCCTGTTCTAGAACCTGAGGCCCACGTTGTCCTATCTATTGAGCCAAACTCTAACAACCAAGACACTCTGAGCCACCATCCAACTCTAAGCTTTGTGTGCACTTCCCTGTAGCATGTTTGATAAACATCTATAGGTAAGAAGACTGGAACCCCAAATTCCTGGGGAAAAAAAAAGGAAGAGCCTATGTATGTAGCTATTCCATTGGGATAAAAACCTGACTGTCCTCTAAAGAGGAGAAAATCAAAGAAACATTATGTACTTCCCTTCCTAGAAATAAATAAATATTCAAATATACATTAGAGTCAGCTAAGGGGACCAGCTAAGGTATAAATTGTTAAACTGTCCTTTCCTTCTTTTCCTTCTCCTAGTGTCTCTCTCCTCCTCCTCCTCCTCCTCTTCCTCCTCCTCTTCCTCCTCCTCCTCCCTCTTCCTCTTCTTCCTCTTCTTGTTTTTTTGAGACAGGGTTTCATGTAGTCCAGGCTGACCATCGACGCACCTTGTAGTCAAGGACAACCTCGACCTTCTGATCCACCTGCCACCTCCACCTCCCTAGTGCTGAGCCACCACCCCTAATGCTCATGATAAAAATCCAGGGCTTCATGCATGCCAGTCTAGCCACTCTCTCAACTGAACTAGAAGCCCAGCCAGCCAGTGTGAACCGTACTTCTAAATTCCAGGTTGCCGTTGGTACCCTGAAGCAATAGGACTCTTGGAGCCATAAAGACACACTGCTTTAACATCGCAGGCATTGCTTCTCTCTTGCTTTTAGAATTTAGTTGGCAAACATCTTGACTACGGGTTTCAGTGAACGTGGGTAATTAGATCTTTTCTGTGGTTCTAATTTGAGACTTAGATGCACCCTCACCATCTAGATAGTGAAGGGAAATTAGAGGAAGGACTCTGAGATTGAATTTAAATAAAACAGTGAAGTGAATCGAATGAGTGAGTTTATTTTTAGTGTGTGTGTGTGTGTGTGTGTGTGTGTACTTTACATTGGATCTGTCCCAGCCTGGGGCTGTCATTTCAAGGCAACCCCCTGGGAATTTACTTCAATTAAGGATTTCTCTTTCATTTTTGCTTTGGACAGCCAACATCAGGTAGAAGACAAATATTCAGACCTCCGATATGATCCCAATTGGAAGAATAAAAGAGAGGAGAGACAGCCATTGGCTGTGGAAGCATCACCAGGGTCTGCAGATAGCTCTTCAGAAAACCTGCCTTTGGCCCCGCTCTACCCTTCCAGGGAGCCGTCCATGGCACTCGCAGCTGGCAAAGGCAAAGAGAAGAGGAGTCCTCAGAGCGAAGCCTCCTTACTTGGAAGCGAATTTCTAAGCCCAAAGTATGAGTGTGGCACCCGTCAAAATGAGTCCTTTTCAGAACTAAGCGACAGTGACCAGGAGGAGAAATCCAGCGACCTGTCTCAGTACCTAAAGAGTTCCAGCTCACATAACGAAGTTTTCCTGCCGGGGTCCCGTGGCCCACGCAGAAGGAAGTCCAAGCAATATTTTGTGGAGAAAAACAAGCTGACTTTGGGATTACCTGCTCCTAAAACAGACTCTTACCTTCAACTTCACAATAAAAAGAGAGGAGAGACTCGCCTGGAACAGGTGCGTAGCGACTGCTTAAACATCGCTTCTGAAGCTGTCCTAGGATTCCCGTGTGTCTGAAATGGCCAGATGTCTTTTCCTTCTGGGCGATGATGCTGTTCGCCCTGGTAGAGCAAATGTTTGCATGCTGTCCCCCAGCTACTATCATTTCCTCTGCCACCTCCTTCTATTCCCTTCTCCTCTTCCTTCCTCTGGTTCTTCTTCCTTTCATTTAGTCTGTGGGGGTGGGGTGGGGTAAGGTGGGGGCGTGCGTATGTAATATATGTGGCTGTGTGTGAGGTAAGCTGAAGGAGTCGCTTCTTTTCCTCTACGTCGTGGATTCTGAGGATGCACCTTGGGTCGGCAGGCTTGGTGGTAAGTGCCTTTACCCGCTGCATCGTCTTGGTAGCCCAGCTGTTTCTTGTAGAACGAAGGTTCTAACTTCATACGTTCTTAAGGGCGAAATAAAGCTCGCCTGGGGTTCACAGTGCCATAACTGCTACAGTTCAATCACTGTGTCTGAAATGTTTCCATTCAAAGACCCATAGAAATGTTAAAACGTTTACTTCATGTGCATGAGCGTTTTGCCTGCATGGATGTCCTGCTCACCAAGTGTGTGCCTTGGAATTTATTTATGCTGTGTGTTCCAGTAAATGAGACACAGGTCTGAGCATTTCATTTCCCGTGATGCTCTTTGTTCTCACCTTACCATTGGTTGCAACCTTACTAAGCACCCCAGTACATTGGAGGGAGAGTGACCCATTCACCCCAAGAACCACAGCTTGCATAGGAAGTGATTCTGCATCCAGATTCTGTTATGGCACTGGGTGCTGGGTGCTGAGTGCTGGGTGCTGAGTGCCGAGTGCTGAGCCGGGGGTGGGGGGTGGGGGTGGCGTGACATGGAGTAGTGTTGTGAAGCAGAGCACAGAGAGCACAGCATGGAAGAGTTTTCCTTTTAATTCTTCAAATGACTCTATCTTACCAATTCCCGTTGCTAATCACTCCACCGTCCCTCTTTGTCCTGACAAGGAAGATGAAATGATCACAGCGTAGACACTCCATTATGTAAAATCAGAAGACTAATAAATGCCCTCTTTTCCTCACCAGATCATTCTGAGAATAAGTTATTACCCAAATGATGGGCCTGGTGGACACCGGGCTCAGCGGTCCTCACTTGTAGTCTCTTCACTTGAGGAGTTGAGACTGGAGGATGGCAAATATGACTCTAATCTGGACTGTGTAACAAGACTTTGTCAGAAACAGGGACACACAAACATTTACACCACACATACATATATACACATTCATACACACATACACACAATTCACACACACATACACACAATTCACACACA